TTGCTACTTCATCACTATCATTTTGCTACTGCTATAAATCAGGCTACCCCTGTGAAAGGGTCGTTCGACCCTCAAAGGGGTTGCACCCCGCAGGTTGAAAACTGCTGGTCTAAGGTAATAGCAGGAGGTGGCGGTGCAGGGAGAGAGTTCTTGCCTACGTGGGGGAGACCCAGGTTCAATACCCAGCCGACGTTCAAGTGCTGCCACCACCCAGCAGTCAGTGAGGCCTGTGTGTTGCTGCAATGCTGACCAGACCTCCTGGGCCTTCCGGGTAACAAAGAATGGCCATCTAGCTCCAAAACAGTGGCCAAGGGCAGCCCTGTGGATCACAGCCCTGCCACCTGGTGTCTGAGGTTGCCATGAATTGGAGATCGCAACCACAAAAAAAAAGTTCATGAGCATGAAGCACCCTTCACACAATCCAGGCATTACCATTTGGGGTTTGAGTTTTGTTCAGCAGAAAATCAAAGGTGACATAAATTACTGATGCGTGATAGGTTCAAACTTCCATCGTGTGACTAACCTGCAAACACCTGTGAGAAGGCACGCATTTTTTTCAGACACCTTTGCGGCATGTATGTCATGGCCAAGTCCCGTGACACAATGTTTAACATACAGATCATCCTAAGTTAAAATACTAAAGGACTATCATAGACTTCCAGCAACAGTTCTGTAGGACATTTAAAAGTGTCCTACAGTTTAGGGTCAGCAAACTGTTCTCTGAAGAGCTATGCTGATTGCGTACTTCAGGGTCCGTGTGCCATATGGTCTCTGTCGCCCCCACTCAGCTCTACTGTGGTAGCATGAAACCAGCCACAGGCAAAATAAATGGGTTCCTTTAAAAAAAGAGAGCAGCTCGTGGTCCATCGTTTGTCAACCGGTCTCCAGAACACCAGTGAACCTAGTGTGATTTCCTATCAAAATGACACTCTATCTGGAATTGATTCTTCAATCCAGCTGACTATCACTGCTTCTTACCTGTGACCCGATGGTTTCCTGGAAGCACCGGCCAAGCTGCGTCTTGGCAGTCACAGGGTAGATGTGAGGGATGACGTGCTGATGGGAGTAGGTGGAATGCACCGTCTGGGTCTTCTGGACGGGGAGCCCTTGGTAAGAGACCTGGGATTGTCCTGGCTGGGCTTCCTTCACCTTCTGGCCGGTCGAGCCATCGATTCTGGACACCTGGTGTATCTGGACTGAAGCCTCAGGAGGGTGCTTCACGTGGATATTGACAATGTTGGGAGGAAATTTTACTAAAACAGATCGAAAGGAAAGCTTGTCAGTCAGTGAATAGTTAACATCTGAGTCATGATGTTTATCACTTGAAGGGCATGTGTGTGTATAGTATGTATATAGATATATACATACACACACATATATATACATATATACGGAAATTATAACAATTGTATATTTTGCTGAATAGCCATTAAAATTCTCAAGAACAAAGGCATGCACTCAACATAAAAACGAACCCTGAATTAAAATGACATTTAAAAACAGAGCTGCAACTTTGAAAGTGTGACACAGGAATAAATTCCCGAGACAAATAATACGCAACGATGAGCGTCAGTGGTTTCGTGTTGTAGGGCAGCAGTTACGGTCAGTTACCTGTGGGTCTGCTCTGGCGTCCGGAGACCCCGTGTGTGTCAGCGTGGAACTGTGCTCCACAGGGGTTCCGGTGACGGATTCTTTAAAAAACAGATGGCCAGGCCTTTCTTCTGCGGAGGAGCCAAGATTCCAACCTTTCGGTTAGTAACCAAGTGTACAAACCATCTGGACCACCCAGGGACTCCGAAGTGGGGGCACATTGTATTAAATAATAATAATGGAGCCCTAAGAGTTTGATTATTTTTGCATTTCGCAGGGTTTCCATCGTAGAAATTTTAGGCTGTGCTTTTTCTACATCAAAGGAGGGAGCCCAATATCCCGAAGCCCAATGCTCACGCCTTAAACCACAAGGGAGGCATGCACTCTCAGGCTGCGTGTGACGCAAGCACAAAAGTGCCGTAGAGTGGACGTCTCATCTCAAGCAAGATTTACCTTCGACAGCTGTCAAACACCACTGCACCTTCCGGGGCAAAGACTCAGCTTTTCAGAATAAGAGCCAATAACACTTCTCTGGCCCTCTTTTTAGAACTGTGCACTTATGAGAGAGGCCCAGTTTAAAAGAATGAATTCATCACAGAAGCTGAGCTCCGAGCGAGCTGCTTTACCTTCCTCTGAGGAGGACTACATCAAAGTCTGGTGAGGCTAAGCGAGTCTTCAGACCTCGATCCAGCATTCCTCCAACTACAGACAGACTTGTTTCTCAGCAGCAGGGACTATGTGATTCTCTATTAATGCTTGAAGGATCCTAACACTCTGTCAGGAATTTTTCTATTTCTCAGGCCATACCAGAATAGCCATTCAATTAATTAGCCATCAGGGGTTAAAAGTCACCAGAAAAAAACTGGATTCCTTTCTTAATTCCCTTATTTCCTGGAAAACAAGTTTCTGTGGCCAAAACCTTAGGCCCACATTCTGTTGCCACTTCCTTTTCTCCTTTTGGTACCAACGTAAGCCCTAACCATCGGCAAATACTTAGCTTCTGGATGGGCTTGGCAGATTCAGTACAAATGGTACAATGGTTGGGGGTTGGGAGGGTGCAGGAGGGGAAGCTTACCTTTGACTCCTTGCTGGCTAGTCATGGTAAGAGGCAAAGTATGTGTGGAGTGGACAACGTGCGTCCCCGGCGCCTTGCCTGGCTGCTGAGACTGTTGATAAAGTTTAGGCACACTGGGTCCATGGACTGGGATCTGACACAGCTTCCCCGTGAAGTTGGGCGGGCACTGGCATTTGTCCCTGGAGCTGCACTGACCACCATTCATACATGGAAGATGGCAAATTACTGCAAGGGGATGGGAAAATAAAGAGAGTTGGCCAGTAAATAACAGTTGATGTTGAACTGAAAAAACAACAACAAAAACGCAAACCCCACAGCCCATTACAACCATCATCACTCTAGTGACTAGAAATGGCAAATCAAGGCGCAAATGACATTATGTCAAAATAGTTTCTATTATTTAGTAGCTTCTTTTAATTTTCATCTCAAGTCACTTAATTCTCCAGAAATAGAAACAGGAGTCTATGGAAATAGAATATTTCCACCCATCACTTATTGACAGGATTAAGTTCCAAAACACTGGTCAGTATGGGAAAATTGGCCTTGTGTAAAACATGGAGAATGACTACAGCAGATCACAAAACGGAACGTGACTACCTCATTGCAAACCTGCCAGTGGCAGGGAATCACGGCCCAGCCAGCCCTGACACATAACATTCACCTTTAAAATCACTATTACTCTCATCTTACCATTCATTACTCCTACACGTACATCATTAATGTACAAAATAGTTAATTTTACACTATGGTCATAAGGGTTAAATGCCAGATAACAAGACAATTGCTATGTGAGAAGTGTGTGTGTGTGTGTGTGTGTGTATATATATGTGTGTGTGTGTGTGTGTATATAGGCATATATATAGGCATATATATAAAGTGCATATATACTTATTTATTACATATCTAAAGTATATATAAAGTATAAAGTAGCCACATCAAATTATTGTCTATCATCGTGTCATTTTAATTTCCTTTTGTAATCTGTAATTACTTATTTGCTTTCCTATCGACTTAATAGTTTAACTTTCTCTCCAGATTTTAAACTCTTTGGAGGTAAGTGGCCCACTACCCTCAAGTCAATTCCAAGTCATAGTGACCCGGTAGGAGAGAGTAGAACTGATCCACAGAGATTCCTTGATGATAAACCTTTATTGAGAGCAGAGAACCTCATCTTTCTCCCACAGAGCAGCTGATGGGTTTGAACCACCGACCTTGTGGTTAGTAGCCTAATAGCACCTAGAACAATGTCTGACACACAAAACCAAGACCAACTCCACTGCCATCGAGTCAATTCAAGTTAATAGTGACCTTACAGGAAGGACAGAGCATAGCTTCCGCTTTTGTGTTTTAGTCTAAGACTTTAAATTGCAGCAGGCTGTCTCACGGAGGACCCGGTGGGTTTAACACATCAGCCTGTAGTGATCCTGCAGAATCCACCACACCACCAGGGGTCCGTCCTCTGACACACCATGCACCGTGAACATTACACAAATATTTGCTCTGAGAAGATACAAAGAAACAAGTGAGAGCAATCAAATAGGGATTTGCTATCATCACTAAGTACAAATTTTCTATAAGTGTAACACTGAACTAAGGTTGACCCACCTAGAGGAGGCGAAGACGCTCTAGAGGAATTTGCAAATCTAGTTGGAGTGACAAGACCTCAACGAGACATGTGAGACCCAGGAGAGTGAGTGGGATGATTAGTTTGAAATTCAACAGACTTAGTTAGATTACTGAAAGACATGTAAGAGGAACACTTAACTCTGGGTAAATCACGCTCAAGATCAACCTCTCCATCATGAATGAATTCTTCTGATCCACCTTTAAACATAATCAAATTTCCCCCAGCCTCACAACAAAGACAAGAAATCCTGAAGCCCATTTCCTATGGCGTCTCCCTTCTTTAAATCTTGTTCTCCACGGCCCAACTCTCCAATAGGATTAGTTCAGGCCAGCTAACGTGCTCTCTCTTCCACAATAAGATTTACTGAGGCTAATATTGGCCTCCATCTTGCTAAATCCTTGGTTCTCAAGACATTTCACTCATCCATTTTACTCCTTCCTCTTTGTCCATTCCATCTTGATACTCTACATAGATGCAACATTGTTTTTTATTTAGCTATTAAATTTTTAGGAAAGCTTACTAACAATCTGAGAAATGTAGATGAAACAACTTTGCAGAAAGTGAGGAGGACCCGGTGCACTTGCTGATGAAGATCAAAAACTGCAGCCTCCAGTATGGATGACAACTCAGGGATAAGCCAACATCCTCACAATTGGAACATAGGTAGGATCATGATAAATGGAGAAAAAGGTGGAAGTTGTCCAGGATTTCCTCTGGCTTGGCTCCACAATCAATGTTCATGGAAGCAGCAGTCAAGAGATCAAAAAACGATTTGCATGAGGTAAATATGCTGCACAAGACTTCTTTATAGAGTATTGAAAAACTGTACCAGTGTACCTCCTCTGGTCTAGCCAGACTTGCAAGATCGAATTCGAGAAAATACAGGGAATCCAGGATGGATGAGCCCTATAGGACCAGTGGTGTGAGTGGC